CCTGCTGGCATCCCTTCTAAACGCCTCCTCTTTGCCACGAGCTTGAACACAACCACGCAGCTCACGGTAACTATCCAAGCTCGCAGAAGCTCGCGAACCCAAAAGAGCCGCAACCAAACCCTCAAACCGCCAAACTTCAGAACTCAACCCAAACCCTGGAACCCTGAACCCCAAAATCCCAGACCCTCAAAAACAAGCCCAAAGCCCTAAACCCTAAACCCGAAACCCCTGTACCCTAAACCTTAAACCCCAAAGCTAAAACCCTAAAAACCTTAAACCCGGACAGCAACTCCCCCTGAGCCCCGCACCCGCTGTGGTGCTCGCTGCGGCTGCCCAGGCATCAGCTTCCGCTCTCGGCGCGGCCCTGGATAGGAGCTTTGGAGGTTTAGGGATTTGGGGGTTTAGGGTTTAGGGATTTGAGGGTTTAGGGTTTAGGGTTTAGGGATTTGAGGGTTTAGGGTTTAGGTTTAGAGATTTGGGGGTTTAGGGATTTGGGGGTTTAGGGATTTGGGGGTTTAGGGTTTAAGGGTTTCATTTGGGGCTTAGAGGTTGTGACTAATGATATAAATCCTGCAGTACCCATGATAAGGAATATACCAGGATTTCCATACTTTAGGGTCCTTAAAGTAAGGCAGGAGATATATATATATATATATATATATCGCATCAAGAGTAGGATTTGGGGGTTTGGGGCTTTGGCGTTTAAGGATTTAGTGGTTTAGGGATTTTGTGGTTTTGGCGTTTAAGGATTTAAGGGTTTTCGGGGTTTGGGGTTTAAGGGTTTAGGAGTTTTGTGGTTTTTGTGTTTCAGGATTTATGGGTTTTCGGGGTTTGGGGTTTAAGGGTTTAGGGGCTTTGTGGTTTTGGTGTGTTTGGGGTTTTAGTGTTTAAGTGTTCAGGGCTTTGGGGCTTTGGAGTTAAGGGGCCCTAAACCCTAAACCCTAAACCCTAAGGTTTGGGGGTTTGGGGTTTTGGTGTTTTGGGGGTTTAGGGTTTAGTGGGTCCAGGCGCTGAGGGGTTTCGGGTTTAGGGGTTTGGGGTTTAGGGTTTAGGTTTTAGGGTTTAGGGTTTAGGGTTTAGGGTTTGTTCAGGGCTTAGGGCTTAGAGTTTAAGGTTGAGAGCTTCTGGTTTGTAAGGGTGCCGTACTATGTTGGGGATCTAAAAAAGGGCCCTCATTTACAGAACTACCCATGTGATGCTACGAGGATTGCCTTGACCTCTACCAGCATCGTTGCTGCTATGATGCCTGCAATCACGGCCATCGCCCTTGCTCACTACCAGTGGTACTTTTACGTTAAGTCGCTGTCGTGTTCTCATCAATTTTTCCACGGCAAGTATCATCTCATTGTAACTACTGGGTCTGTTACTTGTATTCTGGCCACTGCTACAATGCTCAACATCATCATTGCAAGTGTCGTTGTCACTCACGGTTACCATTGCAATCGTCACCGTCGTCCCAGCCTCCTTGTCATCATCACTGTGGCTGTTACTTTCTTGCCTTCTTCGCCAATCCAGTTCTTACGCTGGACAAATTCTGCAAATGTCATTCTGCTACGAGTGTTTGCCACCCTGACCGTTGGAGGTACCCGGCGCACCCGCGCCAGCTACCATAGCCTTAAACCTTTTGACCGCTGTGATCGCTCTGTTTTACTCGAAAGTTAGCCGTACCGGCACCAGCATCTTTGCTGTGAGGATGACAAACACATGTGATGCCACTGCTCATCATGGATCCGTGATCAGTGGCCACTGACCACTGGCTTTGGCCGTTGCGCATCTTCCCTTGCCCTCTTTTCCACCTTGCTACTTTTCCCTGTCAATCAGCAGGCATCGACCTATCCTTTCGGCTCTGTCTCAAGCCCTCAATCAAGCAAAAAATCCCCTCCTTTGCACCGCAGGCGTTTCGGGTTTAGGGTTTAGGGTACCATCCCACCGCAACTCCAAAGCCGAACCTGGAGGTTTTCACCTTCGGTTTGCTGTCGCGTCGGCATTGCCTCGGCACCGGCACTCCAAGGATTGATGGAGGTTCTACGGGTTCTGTACGGGTTCAAGTAAATGGCTTCGGGATGATATGAAAGGTTTCATTCAGAACATTAAAGGGTCCTTGTGCTAGGGTTCGGGAACAAGGACCTACTACTAAGGCCTATGTTTCAAGGGCCCTCATTTTGTTACACTCCCATGTAAGCTTGTGGGTTCCATGGGCTGGAGACAGAGTGTGGCTTGACTCACGCGAGGTGCCAAGGTTTAGGCTGTGGGGCTGATGATTTTTTTGGAAGGATGTCGGGTTCTGAGTTTAATGTTTAGGTCATTGGATTAGGGTTTGGGCTTTTTGGGGTGGAAAAATGGATAAAGAAGGACCTCCTCTTGTTCTTGTTAGTACTACTCTTGCTAGTATTATGCATGCTGTATCTGTGTACTTTATTCATCCCAAGGTCTGAAGGCCTGAGCCATAGAAGTTTCCACAAACCCGTGCAAGATAGTCTTTTGAGTTTACGGTTTAGGGTTTAGGGTTTAAAGGAAGATTTAGGGTTTAGGGTTTAGGGGCCTGGGAGGATCGCAGTTTCGGGCACGCGGCTCAGGGTACAGGCATGCGAAGAGCCGACGAAGCATGTGAACCAAGGACTTCTTGTTAAAATTTCACTAGAGAAGGGTTTATGGTTTAGGGTTTAGAAGGAGATCGGAGTCTCTGGCACGGTTCGGCAAGGGGAAGTCATGCAAGATTCTGAACCCTCCTCCACTCAAGAATCCGAACGCTTAGGAGCCCTAACCCAAGCGTTCCTCGACCTTTCGCGAACCGGAAGCACGGTGCCTGGACAAGAATGTAACATGCGAATACACATATATTCACATGCATGTACCGATGTGCGTGCCTGTATGCTTATATATATATATATATCTTGTTATGTATGCATATGTAACATATGTATATGAGATATACAAAGACACAGGCAATACTTATACATGCACGATAAGACGCCAGAGGGAAGGAGGTGAAGAACGTGCATTTCCTTGCTCCGCAACGCTCCGCACAAGCCCTGAAGAATCATGCAGAGACCTCCGCAGATTCTACTGACCTCAACATTTGCAGCGAGAGAATGACAATAACAACAAAAATCAGGAGACACAGAAATAACAATAGTAACAACCACAACAACAACAACAACAACAACAACAACAACAACAACAACAACAACAACAACAACAACAACAACAACAACAGGTATCATCATGATCGTAATAGCGAGAATAACAACTACCATTTTGCGTCCAAGTCGCATCGAGGAAGCGAGCGGGAGCAGCACAGGCTCCGCTCCGACGCAGGCCAGAGAGGAAGGCCCGGATTTGTACGGGGGGAATCCGTTGCTTGTGGGGCTTCTAGGCTGTGGTCTTTAAGTCTTCGGGTTTGGGGGTGATGAAGACTGATACTCGCTTCCCAGCGGAATAGTTACAAGGCCTACTGACGGGAGCCTTTGGGGCACCTGAATTTCAAAGCGTGATTTTCGAAAGGCTCAGGGTTTATGAGTCTAGGGTCTAGGGTAGAGGGTTGAGCATGCCTGAACCCTAAGCTCCTAACCCAAGGATTTGGGGGTTTTGCTTTCTAGTACACAAAATGGTCGAAGCCAAACGCTCTCAGCACGAATATCGATACCAAGGTTCGCAAACGCCCTCGTGGAAGTTGTCATGTGTGTATGTTGCTTCAAGCTAATAAACATTTTTCGCCTCACGACTAAAAGGCTAATCCTCGTCCTTTATCACCGCAGTGTGTTGCACTGGGAGTAGGAGTTAGGATTAGGGGGACGCTTGGGGATATAGACCCTCTCAATAAGGGGTCTCCCTAATACTACCTAGGAGGAAGACAACAAACCTACGAGGAGCCTGTCAACGCCCTGACTGTTGTCCTCAGGTCGAGTTTAGGAAGGAGGCTTTACAAGGGTTGAGTCCTACATAACTGGCACGCGAGGCTTCTGATCTAGAATCTTACCAGTAAACCCTAGGCCCCACGCTCTAAGTCCGGATGCAGATGCTCACCAAATGATCTGACGAACCTGTTGCACAATCAGTCCGAAAAGGTACAACTTGCCTTTTTTGATTGAACGACATCGCGTCTGAGATCAGCCTTTTCGCTGTCCCACGAGTCTTATCCAAGATTAGTGAGGCACTCACATGCGTGTTCGCAAGTCGCAACTCTTTGCCAGCCAGAGCATGAAGCTCCCCCGAAGCCCGACGCAGCGAAGCGTGCCACTGTGTTCCAGGGCTCAGCCCAGGCACACTTTTGGAGTAGGGTTTTGGCCAGTCATAGCTGAAAGCTGGCTGAAGTACCTTTGCTGGCCTCAGTTGCCTGCCTCAGTGCAGCCAGAGGTTGACCACTCGACCAGCGGTGAGCCCTTGAGGGGGCTGGTAAACAAGTTGGTGCTTCTCTGGAGATGCATGGTACACTCGAGCCCTGCGCAACGCAAAACTGGTCTCGTCCGGGGCTCCAAAGTCCCCAATCTACACCGGCCCCACGTGCACAGAACCCAAGTGCACTAGCTTGGCAGCTTGGCACTAGTTCACTAACTAAATCAGCTTTGGCGGGTGCTTTTCTTGAACCCTGAACAGGGATCCTTGTAATAAGGACTTCTAGCTACAGTATCGCTAAACTCCAAGAAACCCATCCCAAGAGGCTCTGGAAAAGCACGCCAAGTTTGAAGTACGTACGCCGAAGCCCGAACTTCTAGTCGAGCGGGTCATTACATTCGAGGGCTTTGCCCGAAACCGAAACCACAAAGCGCCATCCAGCCTCTGTTTGAAAGGCACATGCGTAGCTGAATTTCCCTTCAGGTCGACAAGGCAGCAGCTCGAATCGCCTGCAGTGCCGCCGGCCTGGCCAAAGCAGCATCCCACGGAAGACCTGCATCTATCGGAAGACCATATCTCCTGTAAGATCTAGCTACCTCCACCTATCCATCCACATGGCATCTTTACACAGTGCAGTGCCCGTAGAAAGAAGGTCAGAGCCTCTCTCACGCCCGTGGCTTGTCCTGCTCTGGATCGATATCCTCGATGGGGGCATCGGGCTCTCAACGAAGCTGGGTTAGCGCGTCAAGCATCCTTCGAATGCCTGCCTCTGGCTTTGTTGGCTTTGGCTGCGGCGGCACCAGTGGCTCCATATCCTCTCACTGGCTGAGGCTGACTTGTCCTCCCTCCTTGACTCAAACCCAGGCAGTCCTTCGGAGTTTGAAACTGCACCAGAAACTTCTCGTTGTCGACCGCCTCATCACAGCTCAAGTTCAACGACCTAGTGCATTTCCTGCAAGGCATCACACTCAGGATCCGCTCCTCATGCAGGAGGCACTGCTTGATCAGCTTCCTTTCATGTCCAAGCCTGTCTCCAGCACAACCGGTTAGAAATAAAACAATTGTGCCGACGCGCTGTGTAGCACGGCAGATGTCTTTGCTTCTTCTTTGCAGAGAGCCAAACGTACTTTGATGTGGTTTGATGCTGTCGGCTTCGAGGTATGCAGAGCACTAGTAGCCATGCCAACAACCTGGGAAAAATGGAGGATAGTCAGCTGCCTCCCTAGAACGCCCGCACACAACCCCTCGGTATGGAGCCACAAGAAATCAGTCCTCGCATGTGTTTTGGTGCCAATGGAACATTTAGCCCCACGACCTGTGTCTACGATGCATGATCTGCGTGATGTGTGCACAGTCAGAGAAACTACTACATGGGGAAAATAGTTGAAGTCGTGCTGCCTGCTGATGTGGACAATCGCGTAGGGCTCCTCTGCACAAGCTTCAAAGCCAGAAGATCTTCACAACAGCCTGAACCATTGCCACAGTACGCAGTCCTCTCTTGACACTCTGAACGTGAGAAGCCCTGTGCCAACAGCTGCAAACAAGGTCAACATGCTGTCAGATGCTTTGCCACCACCTTGGCAACCCGGAGGGTGGTGCGGGTGTTGTGGGTGTTGCCAGCATCTTGTGCGGGGAGCTGAGGGTGTGCTGAGATGCCGAGTGGACATGAGAGTTGGCTGCGTCAAGGTTGTGAGATGTTATGAGGGTTCGGTGCGGAGTGCTGTTGTGAGAGAAGCGGATGCCGAGTCTTATCAGCGTGCTGTCACGCGGTGAGGAGCACAAACACCTCTCTGCAATCTACCTAGCCCTCGGACAGAGGACCGGCCAGCGGATATATGGGCAACAACACAGCTTGGGACTCCTTCGCGTTCTTGTAAACATCGCGCCAATCCTGACATTGCAGAGGCTCTGCACACTCTTAGGGCGTCGCGAGTACGGGTTCCACCTCAGGTTTTGCAGTGGAAACTGGGTTGAACGGTTAACGGCTTTGACGTTCTATAGCTTCATGCTTTAGAGGTTCATGGCTTCAAATGAAGGCGTTCGGGTACAGCGAAAGCACGGCTTATGGTTGAGAGATCCAAGTACCCTCAAGTCCGGAACATGTTTTTGATAATTGAAAGTGCGCTTCAAAAATGACTCACCGAAAACGACTGCTTATGAAGCGGCGGTGTCCCTGTATTGGCTTCGCGTGGCAAGGCTAAGGTCTCAAGGCAACAGGAGCATTGACAAATGCTGCGCTGCAAGGTTTCCATCATCAAAACAAGAAAGTGAGCCCACAATCGTGACACCCACCAGAGCCTCAACAGCCCGATCGGGAAGCCCAACAACCCGAGAATGATCATAACTGAACGCTACCCAAAATCTCGAAATCTCAAACAACAAACGAGCCTGCGCAAGCCCGCGAGACTCTGCATCTGTCCTCGCGGATTCCGCTCTTCCATCGCAGTACCAACCAGGCGTGACAGAGTATGAGGCCGGCAAGCAAAGGAAATCCTCGGCTCGTTCATCCAAGGACAGTGTGGTTTAGGTCTAGGGTTTGATTTAGGGTTCAGGGTTTAGGGCTCCGTCGAAGGCAGCTAATGAAACAAAAGATCGGGTTCCGACAAGCACAGTCTCTGTTCATCTGTTATGTGTGCGCCCCGGCAAGATTTGTCTCAGTACGAGTAAGTAAGCGGCCACTGACGACACGTCCTGCAGGTTCTAGAAGGGGACCGTGTCATGCACGGGGCTGCTTATCTTAGGCAAGTCTTGCTTCTGCACGTCGTGGGAGCACAAGGTTCAAAATACAGGACGCTTAATTCAGGTATGCGCGCTCCCATGCGGGATCTCGACTGCTACACTCCTTCTAGTCCCTCTAGCGCCGCAAATACTGCGATGGGTTCGAGGCAGTCTAAACAAACGGGAAGATGATTCAAACGGAAGTTGGCTCGGAATATATGCCTGGCAAGGTATATACAACCACTATCGCATTTTCCACCCAACTTTTCCGGCATGATGCGGGGACATAGGATTTAGCGAGACCAACCGGGGCACTCTACAGTCGTCTTGGTCTGTTGCAGTTGTTGGCAATCTGCTTTCCCCGCAGACACAAATGCATATATCAACATGGCTAAAGATGAAACTAGAACGAGAAGGGCCGCAGCCGGCTTTCACCATTCGAGGCAACTAGCACCGGGCAGGACATCAAAGCTAACCCAGTGGCCAAGTGTGGTTCGCAATATTTCCCAATGGCCTTCGGCAGCTGGTGCATGGCCCGACAGAATGGCAGCCAAGCTGGGGCTGGCGATCAGAACCGATAACCAAGCTCGACCAGACAACCGCGACGACGCAAACCCACAAGACCCGGTGAAACTACTCCTTTCTGCCCGCTTGCAAGCTGAGCGGCCAATGTAAGCTCGACGGCACTGGAACAGTTGCTTCCATCGCAGACGACCGAACCATCGCACCAAGGCTTCCAAGTCTTCCCACAGTGACATTTCTGTCCTGTATGAGCCACAGCCGTGGCAGATGCAGCGGCTTGGTCCGCCGATGGCCTTCAGGATCATGCATGTCCTTCTAACACTGCAGATTTAGAACGATCGCAAAAGCAGTTTCAGGGTTTGCCTCCCAAACGCGACGCCTTGTAGCTGCCAGTACGACGAGAGCAATGCTGCAGCACAGGTGAAATAAATTGATGATCCTCAGGTACCAGTCTGCCAGCGTGTTTTGCTCCTTCTTCAAGGCGAATGAGTTGAGCCCCCATGTAAAAAGAGATCCCCGACAGCAATCCGACAACATCTGGACAAAGAGTCCTTGGCATCGCCTCGTTCAGAACGTAGCATTGACCATTGACCGTCAAGAAGCACGCGCTCATGAGGGCCAAACCACCACTAAGTCATCCAGTGGGACGGCGAAACCGCAGAATGCGAAGCAGCACACCTAAGCAGCAGGCTCCAAACATTGGTGTCACAAGCAACTCGGATGAGCAAGGAGCAGCCAGGATCATGCTGGCTGCTTGCATTCTGCGCGAGAAAGTTCGTGCTCGGCTACGAATGGCAGGATGTTATGGGACACAACAAACAAGCCGGAGCTTTATGAAATCGAACTTTCTCAGCACCTCGCCAAGAACATGTTCCAAACGACAGTGTTGAAGAAGTGATCGCCTGAGGGCAGAGAAGACCATGAAGCGAAACACGAATGTTGCACATACTTGATGAAAGCAGCATTCGTCTGGGTTGTCCCATTTGCCGAGACATAAAGTCAGTGCATGGCATTGCTCTTTTTAAGGGGGCCCACGGAGGTCTCTGCAGTAGCAACGATCTGTCGCATGCACGTCGACCCCTCAATCCTGATAGAAGCAGAAAAAAGCAATGACTTTCTACACATCTCGCCTTCCGCTCCACATTCATCATAACATGCACTCTCGATCGGTGTCGCATCGGCCCAGCGAACATCGGATGTGCATGCTTTCTGATGTCCTGCATGTGCAGTTTCTGCTTTCACCGTGCACCGAACCAGATGTGAGAAGATACCAGCAAGAGTTCTCTCCGCCGCCTCCGTGTCACATGATGAAGCAACCCAGCGAAGCGATGGTGGAATTTTACTGAAAGCACGCCTGCGAGTCACGCAGAAGAAAGGATTGCAGTTTGTTTGCAGACTCCGTCAGGCCGGCCACGCCCGCTTCACGTAATCACTCACTACTCCATGCGGTTCTGCACAAGAGTGCAACGAAGACACTTGCCGACAGCCAATCCCAATCCCTTACACTCCTGATCCACTGTGAACTCATCGTCCAATCAGCGCCCCACCCTGTTTTGCGACGATTTCCTCACATGTTCCTCTCTCTTATGTAGCGGGGTGTTCGGCCCACAATCGATCGTCTACAAGGGAGCTGATTCAAAAACGAAAGGGTGTTGAGCCTACAGCCTCGGACCAAA